AGGAACTGGTTGGCCACTGTGTGAGACGGGATGCTGGAATAGATGGACCCTCACTGGTCTAATCCAGCAGGCTCTTCTGAGGTTCTTCTCAGGGGAAGGCCTCGGCCTCTCTGCCCTGTTGTTGGTCCTCCAGAGGAACTGGTTGGCCACTGTGTGAGACAGGATGCTGGACTAGCTGGACCCTCACTGGTCTGATCCAGCAGGGCTCTTCTGACGTTCTTATCAGGGGAAGGCCTCGGCCTCTCTGCCCTGTTGTTGGCCATCCAAAGGAACTGGTTGGCCACTGTGTGAGACGGGATGCTGGAATAGATGGACCCTCACTGGTCTAATCCAGCAGGCTCTTCTGAGGTTCTTCTCAGGGGAAGGCCTCGGCCTCTCTGCCCTGTTGTTGGTCCTCCAGAGGAACTGGTTGGCCACTGTGTGAGACAGGATGCTGGACTAGATGGACCCTCACTGGTCTGATCCAGCAGGGCTCTTCTGACGTTCTTAACAGGGGAAGGCCTCGGCCTCTCTGCCCTGTTGTTGGTCCTTCAGAGGAACTGGTTGGCCACTGTGTGAGACAGGATGCTGTACTAGATGGACCCTCACTGGTCTGATCCAGCAGGGCTCTTCTGAGGTTCTTATCAAGAGAAGGCCTCAGCCTCTCTGCCTTGTTGTTGGCCCTCCAGAGGAACTGGTTGGCCACTGTGTGAGTTAGGATGCTGGACTGGATGGACCCTCACTGGTCTGATCCAGCAGGGCTCTTCTGTTATGAATGATCATTCTTTTGACTATTAATTATTCATCGATGGGCACCCACAGGCAGGGCTCAGCCTCTCTGCCCTGTTGTTGGTCATCCAAAGGAACTGGTTGGCCACTTTGTGAGACTGGATGCTGGACTAGATGGACCACTGGTCTGATCCAGCAGGGCTCTTCTGTTATGAATGATCATTCTTTTGACTATTAATTATTCATCGATGGGCACCCACAGGCAGGGCTCAGCCTCTCTGCCCTGTTGTTGGTCATCCAAAGGAACTGGTTGGCCACTTTGTGAGACTGGATGCTGGACTAGATGGACCACTGGTCTGATCCAGCAGGGCTCTTCTGATGTTCTTATCAGGATAAGGTCTCAGGATGAGGATTATACATGTTATCAGAGGTCATTTCGTAGAAAAAGAGGTGCAGGAGCTCATTAGCATAACTCATTAACATAACTTATTTGCATATGCCACACCCCCTGACATCACCGGAAGTGTGTCAGAAGGCAACACCCACCGCTCAGGCTCCACTTGACTGTTTTGGATTGCTGGCTAACTATTTTTTTGGGGGGGAAGTGCAGATTTGCCCTCACAGAAGGCGGAAAGCTTGTACCTGAAGGCAGGCCGGGGGGGGGGGAGGGCTTTGCAACTTCACAGGCTCTGCAGCTTACCTGGCTGCTTCTTGCTCTGACTGAGGGCTGCTGGGAGCAGGGGGTGGTGCTTGTTGCATGTGCCCGCCCCCTGAGCTCTTTACTGCCGGAGCTCCGCTCCTGTGCGCTCCTGCAGGAAATGACCCCTGACTGCAGCAAGGATTTTGTATGCAAAATATGGGAGAAAAGAAGTCCCTGCAAAAGAAGAGGTTATCTACTGACTATTAGAAACGGCAGAGAGGGACAAACTTACTTTACAAATAGAAGATTAAAAAAGAAGAAGAAATTTTGGGGGGAAAACCTGGTCAAGACTGTATAAATGGATTGAGTTGTGTTTGGCAAAGATGTATACGATCATTTCGTACTACAAATACCAAAACGTTCTTTCTTTTGTACTATTTTACAGGCAAAGGTGCATATAAGTACGATTCTGTGTATGCAAAACAAACTAGATACAATTAGTACATGCTCCTGTATGTTTTTTTTATGTTCGTTTGTCTTGTAGATGGTCTTACTTGTGTGTCTCTTCTTTTATCTATGTAGAAAAGCAGTAAAAACCTATTTTTTTAAAAAAAAAGACTGATAGGGTGGCAACAGGAACAGCGATTTGTGGCGTTCAGAAATTAGCTCTCGGTCTCGCATCAGTTCACGGTCAGACCTGATAACTGGAAAAGGATATGCTGGCTGGGGTGGGGTGGGGGGTAGGGAGGGACTTCCTGTTCTCTGCAGGGTGATCGAAAGGAGCGTATGCAAATGGGCCAAAAAAAGGTTATAAGACCATCAGTCTCCCTCACTGCAGGAGGCAGCACATGTGGCTCAGCGCTTTGGTGCCTGTGCTGTAAAGGGAGAGGACCGCTCAAGCTACAGCTAGTGAAATGAGCAAGGCAAATCAGGAGAGGCTTCCCCAGTGTCGCCTCCCCGTTCGGGTGAACTCGAACCCCATTCCCATGGCAAGGTAAGCCGGGGTGTGTGTGTTAGTTGCTACAAAATCAAAAGCCTGGTTTGTGAACTAATAAATGGATGCCCGGTCCTCTCCTTCTTTAGGAGCGGGGCCTGCTTTTTGGTGGCCCCCTCAGCTGCCGATAAAGCCGAAAACGAGAGATTATTCCCGTGCTGCTTTTCAAAAACGTGACGTGCGCTACCATTGACCTCCTTCTCACGGCCAGTTTTGCCGCCGTTTTAATTGCGTCCCTGCGGAGCAAGGTGAAAATGAATTGTTTTTTAAAAAATCGATAAAAATCGATACTGTTGTGCTTCTAGGAGGAAGAGGAGAAGAAGGCTAAAGAGGAGCAGGAGCAGCGGGAGCACGAGGAATACCTCAAGCTGAAGGAGAGCTTTGTCGTGGAAGAAGAAGGGGTGGACGAAGCCATGTCAGAGGAGGAGGTGAGTGACTCTGGGGCCGCTGGCGTGGCCTTCTTCAGCCAGAAAAAGCACCACAGCTTGTGCATCTGGCGATCAGACAGTTCATTCCCCTTTCGGATGTGAGCCACGATGCTCCCTCTAAGCTGTGGAGTCCTGTGAGCAAAAATTCTCCTTTGTGAGCAACTGGCATGAAAGTTGTGAGCGAGCGATTTGGCCGCTGCATAAACTAGCTTGCTCTGGAGCCGTCCTCCCTGAGCCGAGACAAAAATCTGTGAGCCAGAGGCTACAAAACTGTGAGCTGGCTCACACTGACTCAGCTTAGAGGAAACACTTATGCCCCCTTAACATCTAGGAACCCCAGTGGCCGTTGGGGGGGAGGCTCGGCAGCCCCGGCGGCTGGGAGCCACGTGGGCCTTGCCGCTGGTGCGGGGGGGCGGTTGGGGGGAGAAGGCTCACCTGCGGCTTCTTCCTCCTCCTCCACGTGGAGCTCCATCTCCCCCCCCCCCCCCCCCGCCGCACGGCTTCTTCTTACTTAATATTAAGCATCTCCAGATAAAGTGATCAGGCAGTAGGTGTTGTGAAAGGCCTCCGCTTGAGACCCTGGAGAGCTGTAAAGAGGGGCTGTGACTCAGTGGAAGAGCATCTGCTTGGCATGCAGAAGGTCCCTGGTTCAATCCCTGGCATCTCCAGTTAAAAAGGACCAGGCAGTAGGTGATGGGAAAGACCTCAGCCTGAGACCCTGGAGAGCTGTAAAGATGGGGCTGTGGCTCAGTGGCAGAGCATCTGCTTGGCATGCAGAAGGTCCCAGGTTCAGTCCCCGGTATCACCAGTTAAAAAGGACCATGCAGTAGGTGATGGGAAAGACCTCTCTGCCTGAGACCCTGGAGAACTGTAAAGAGGGGCTGTGGCTCAGTGGCAGAGCTTCCGCTTGGCATGCAGGAAGTCCCAGGTTCAACCCCCGGCATCTCTGGTTAAAAGGACCAGGCAGGAGGTGATGGGAAAGGTCTCCGCTTGAGACCCTGGAGAGCCGCTGCCAGTCTGAGTGGACAAGACCGACCTTGACGGACCGAGGGTCTGATGCCGTATGGGGCAGCTTCAGGTGTATGAGCCAAGCCCACTCTTGGTGTGACCTTGTAATCTGCCCTGAGCCCGTTTGCAGGCAGGGCGGGATAGAAATCGAATTAAATAACTAACTAAATAGGATGGCAAGATCAATTCTGTCTTAGAATCACAGAGTTGGAAGGGGCCATATGGGCCACCCAGGCCAACCCCCTGCTCAACAGGCACATATGAGCTGTCTCTGTGGGGAAGGAGGGTACGAAGCAATGCTTCCCCCCACCCCCCGTAGAACGCAGAAGAGGAGATTGGATTTATACCCCGCCCTTCACTCGGAGTCTCAGAGCGGCTCCTTCCCCTTCCCACAAGAGACACCCTGTGAGGCAGGTGGGGCCGAGAGAGCTCTGAGGGAACTGTCCTGAGAGAGCTCTGAGAGAGCCAGTTTGGTGTTGTGGTTCAGTGCGCGGACGCTAATCTGGGAGAACCAGGTTTGATTCCCCACTCCTCCACTGGCACCTGCTGGATGACCTTGGGCAAGCCGTAGTTCTGGTCAGAGCCGTTCTTGAAAAAGAGCAGTTTCTGTCAAGAGCTCTCTCAGTCCCACCTCCCTCACAGGGTGCCTGTTGTAGGGAGGGGAAGGGAAAGGAGATTGTAAACTGCTCTGAGACTCCTTGGGTAGTGAAGGGCGGGCTATAAATCCAATCTCTTCTCCTTCAGTCACAAGTTCTCTCACAGCTGTTCTCTCAAGAGCAGTTTCTGTCAGAGCTCTCTCAACCCCACCTGCCTCACAGGGTGTCTGTTGTGGGGAGGGGAAGGGAAAGGAGATTGTAAGCTGCTCTGAGACTATGAGTGAAGGGTGGGGTATGAATCCAATCTCCTCCACTTGCACCTGCTGGATGACCTTGGGCAAGCCATAGTTCTGCCACAGCTGTTCTTGAAGAACAGAGCTCTCTCAGCCACACCTGCATCACAGGGCGTCTGTTGTGGGGAGGGGGAGGGAGAGGAGATTGTAAGCCGCTCTGAGACTCCTTCGGGTAGTGAAGGGCGGGGTATAAATCCAGTCTCCTCTTGTTCTTCTCTTCCTTGAAAGAACAGCTCTGCCAGAACGATGGCTTGCCCAAGGTCATCATCCAGCAGCTCCAAGTGGAGGCGTGGAGAATCAGACCCGGTTCTCCCAGATTAGAGTCCACGCACTTAACCACTACACCAAAGCAAAGTTTGGTCACGTATGTGCAACGGTCAGGTCACACGGATTCCCCTCTTAACACCCTTTAAGCCACCTTTTCCCACCCTTCTGACACGACTAGTGCAGGTGGCAGCAACTTTCTCACAGTTTATTTATCAAGAGGGTGTGTGATGGAGCAACAGCGTTGTCTGCACATTCCTGATTCCAACACTCTAGCAAACAGAACTTTTTAAAGCCCTAAGTCCTTCCCTGCACCCAACTAGAAAAGTTGACTTATTTCTGTAGCGCTGACTCGGTGCAGTATTTTTACCAGCCCGTGGCTCGCATTTGGCAAGTCTGATTATTCCTCCTGTTTAGCAGGGAGAATGCATTTTTTTCTTTTAGGGTTGCTTTGAAATTATTTTTTTGCAGAAATCAGCAAATGTTGCTCCCAAACTGCTGCCTCTGGAATCAACCGTGTTGGACTGGATGGGCCATTGGCCTGATCCAACATGACTTCACTTACATTAATGTATCCCAAGAATACAGTATTAGAATCTGGGGGATCATTTTATTTTATTTTATTTATTTATTTATTTTTTAAAAAAATTATTTTATTTTTCAATTTTTATCCCGCCCGTCTCCTTAAGTGGACTCTGGGTGGCTTACAGCATGTTATACAAACCAGTAGAACATAAGAACATAAGAGAAGCCAATGTTGGATCAGGCCAGTGGCCCATCCAGTCCAACACTCTGTCACACAGTGGCCAAAAATACCAGGTGCCATCAGGAGGTCCAGCAGTGGGGCCAGGACACTAGGAGCCCTCCCACTGTTGCCCCCCCTCCAAAGCACCAACAAATACAGAGCATCACTTGCCCCAGACTGAGAGCTCCTATCTGTATCTTGTGGCTAATAGCCACTGATGGACCTCTGCTCCATATGTTTATCCATAAGAACATAAGACAAGCCAATGTTGGATCAGGCCAATGGTCCATCCAGTCCAGCACTCTGTCTATCACACAGTGGCCAAATGTACCAGGTGCCATCGGGAGGTCCAGCAGTGGGCCCAGGACACTAGGAGTCCTCCCACTGTTGCCCCCCCCAAGCACCAAGATGACAGAGCATCACTTGCCCCAGAGTGCCTATCTGTACCTTGTGACTAATAGCCACTGATGGACTTCTGCTCCATATGCTTATCTAATTCCCTCTTGAAGCCGTCCATGCTAACAATCCCGTAAAACATTGATTCATTAAAACGTTAGTTTCAATAATATTAAAATTAAATAACCAATTTAAAATACCTAACGGCACCTTGGCAATTAATTATATTCCTCTTTTTCACTTTATTTTCTGACCGTGTAAATTTTCCATGGTATCTTGGCCAGTATTTCTGCACTGCCCCTGACCCCCACATGCAAACAATTTGTGCTTTTATTCCCTTGACACGTCCACAGATCTCTCCCACGAACTCTGCTCTACGTTAGTAATTGCATTTAATGCCGAACACCAAAGTTGTTTGTATGTACATGCTTTTTGAGCATGTGGTATTTAAGTCCGGGGTATCCATAAAGGTCTTGTTTGTACATTTTTTAAAATAAATTTTATTACTTTTTGAAAACAGATACATACAAGATACAAAAGTCATAAATTCTTAAACTTATACAACTATACCCAACTAAAATTCACATTATAATTTTTCCTTAGCTATTACATAACAGGTCACATTTCATTACTAAACACACACCAATAGTATCCCATTGAGGAGGAAACAATAAATACAGCTGGCTTGTTGCTTAGTGAAGGTCGTTTTGTTTGAATGCCACTAGCGACACTTTGCAAGGCTAAAAAAAACACAGACAGGTCCCTGCCCCAAGGAACATACAGTTGAAATACCCACAGTGGGATCAGCGACAGAGGGAAGAAATAGTTACACATGAGCAGACCATGCTTGAGTTGGATGCCCAGCCAACGGCTTTACCTTAGCGGCAGGTTTTGTGGCGGGAGACAGGCAGTTTGCAAGTCCCAGGGAAGCTCACGGCTTAATAGACCCAAGATGACTGTCTTGTCGGAAAATATCCGAGTCCGATCTAAACATCGGGGGAGGCACTTTTCCACAATTAAAAGGCAACGAAGCTTCTGCAAAAAGAGTGGTGGCAGTTCTTAGCGGTCGGAGGCAGCTTTTGAATTTGCTTCCTAAAAATTAAGAATTTGGCAATCGTGTAGCTGGAAGCTGGAGTTTCCCTTAAAGCGACGGTGCAGCCATTCTGAATGACACCGGCCCTGGAAGCTTCTCCCTTTAAGGGCCGGGCATCCATAAATGTGAGCAGCGGCTGGCCTGGCGGCCTCAGGGGACAAATTTAAGGGGGTACCAACCAGTGTTCCCTCTAAGCTGAGTTAGTGTGAGCTAGCTCACAGTTTTCTTAGCCTCCGGCTCACAGATTTTTGTCTTCGCTCAGGAAGGAGGGCTCCAGAGCAAACTAATTTATGCAGTAGCCAAATGGCTCGCTCACAACTTTCGTGCCAGTGGCTCACAAAGTAGAATTTTTGCTCACAAGACTCCACAGCTTAGAGGGAGCACGGGTGCCAACCTTGGCCGCTGCGTGGCCCGACTTCCTCTACCCCATCCAAGAGCCAGCGTGACCCTCATTCCTTCTCTTCTCCCTCCCTCGGGGGAATTCGGTCGTAGGAGTCTGGGAACTACCTGCCCGGGAGGGCTTTCTAAACTTTCACAATTGACTGTGCCCAGGAGAGAATGGGGGCCACTCTGGATGGAAGCGGGCGGGGTATGTGTGT